ACACAGAATTGAAGTTGGTAAGAGAAAATTGTGAAATTCTTCTGTGGACTCTAAGAAACGTCCACAGAATAATAATTAATATTTTTTAATATTATCTTGTCAAGAGCCTATTCGTCTGGGTTTAAAAATGATATTATGACCCTTGGACCTTCTTCCGATCCCATTTATTATATTCATTATATATTCATATTCATATTATATATTCATTAATTCCATTTCTACTCTTTACTTCTATTCTTATAAGCCTTTTCCTAGAAATCAACTTCTACTTTCCTGTGCTCCTGTCCTAGCACATCCCAGGCCCCTTCTCATTACTGTGGCTAAAACCAGCTGTCAGCAGCCTGACACTTACAGTCCTGACCTCCCCCTGAACTCCAGTTCTTGTCACCGGACACTCACTAGACATTTCCACTTGCAGGCTCCCCACTCCGCCACGTCAAGTTTTAAAATACTTATCGCTGCAATTGTCTCTTAGCTTCCCAACAGCTCTCAGGTTTTTCCCTTCCATCACTTCTGTCTTAGTCTCTGGCACTATTTTTTTTTAACCAGGACTAGAAACTATGGAATGACTTCAATCTATTTATCTTCTTCCTGGAGTCATGGTATAACAGAAAAACATTAACTTTGGAATAAAACTGTTTCTGTCACATTTTAGCAGTATAAACATCATAACCTACATCCTTCAGATTTCTCATCTATAAAATGGTATAATCAGTACCACATAAAAGAAAAAGAGGAGGAAGAGGAAGGAAGAGGAGGAGGAAGAGGAAGGAGAAGAAGGAAGAGGAGGAGGAGGAAGAAAAGAAGAAGAGGAGGAGGAGGAGAAGAGGAGGAGGAGAAGAAGGAGGAGGAGGAGGAGGAGGAGGAGAACAACAACAACAGCAACAACAACAAGGGAGAAAAGAGGAGAAAGAAGAAAAGAGAAAAAATTTACCATCCTCTTAACTGAGTGAGACTCTAACTCTCCACACTGTGGATGTTCAGTCCTAATCTATAAAAACACACTGTGCCTTAAAGAATGTTCAACAACATATCTGGCCTTTGACCATTAGATGCCAATAGAAATTCTCCTATTCATAATGTCCAAAACTGTATTTGAAACTGCCAGACACCCTCATGAGGTCAGAGGAAGTCTGGAAGGAGCCACGGTATCTTACTGTCTAGATGCTTCCCACATCACTTGAGGTGATGACTGGAGACTGACTAGTGCAGTTCTTGACCAGGGCCACCATCTGCAAAAATGGATGTCATCGGTAAAGTTCCATCAACGGAAGGTGGTCTCTAAAAATTATAAGCAGACACCTTGTGAATCTCTTTAAGGGAGAAAATTAAATTGTGTTGACCCAAATTATACATTAGTAAATATTTTGTTGGAATTCAAAAAACACTAAAGCAAATTTCTTATATTCTCTTGCTATGACTTGAATGTGAAATGTCCCTCAGTAAGGCTCACTGAAACACTTGGTCTCCACTGGTGGTGCTATTGGAGAAAGTTCTGGAATAGTTAGGAGCTGGAGCTTTGCTGGAAGAAATGGATCAGTGTGGAGGGGCCTTAAGGTTTATAGGCTAGCCCAACTTCCTGTTCACTCTCGGCTGCCAGAGTGTTCACCCAACACTACCACTAGCTTCCTGCTCCTGCCTCCATTCCTTCCCCAGCCGGCTACCTTGCCTTCTCAGACATGATGGACTTTGACACCCCAGGAACTGTGAGCTAAAATAAACCCTGTCTTATTTAAGTTACTTTTGTCAGAGCATTTTCCTCTCTGCAACAGGAAATGAGATGAGGCTTCATCTTGGTGGTTTTATATCTCTGTCTGTTGTCACTGCACTTCAGGGGTCACTAGAGCTGCTTTCCTTCTTTTACTTCAGACTCTCACTGCCCAACTCATACAACCAGCCTTCTGCACAGTGCTGGTGTCCAACATCCTTTCTACCACAAACCGTTTCACCATGTACCCCATCTCATTCCCTTCCCTCCCTCTCTCTGCCTCTCTAAAAGTACCTCTGTCTCTGTATGTCTGTGTCTTTTGTTTTTTGCCTTTTGATACAGAATCTCACAATATAACTAGCCTTGAACTCACAATCCTCCTGTCCCAACCTCCTGAGTGCTAGGAGTATAGGCATGTGTCATCTCACTGACCCTATTTTCTGTATCCAGATGACCCTCATTTGCCAGTTAGCAAAATGTCTTCCACTCACCCTTCAAGACTGTGCTTCTGAAATGTCACTCTTTGTCAAAACTTGAGCCTCCCCCTCTCTGAACCTAGGGTCTTTCATACTCCACCACTGAGCCTCCTCCTCAATCTTGTCATCACCTTCTTGTCCTATGAGATCACCATGATCTATCTCTCTCACTCCCCCACCCCAATGTTCTTGAAAATATCTCAGAGCTGGCCCTTCCTCCCCCTTTCTTTGGCCTACAGAGATCTGACAGCACTCTTCACAGTGCAGTTCGAATATCAACTTCTGTTGATGCTTGCAACTTCTTTTGAAAGCCATCAGAATGGGAAAAAAAGATGGCTAATGGTTAGAGGGTGGTACCATCAAACGGATGTAAAATAAATCACATTCAGTAAAATAGTAATTTAGAATCTACATACTAACCTATAGATACTCACAGTGTAATATTTTCATTTTTTGTTTCAAACTGTCAAATAGTCAAATAACAAGTAAATAATAAGAATAAGCTGAAATTAAAAGTTAGCATCCCAATTTTTCTACAAAGCCTCCACCACCCCAAATCTAGTACAGTCATTAAGAAACCAAGTATAGATATCAGACAGATCTAAGTTCAAAGCCCAGGTCCACTGTTTGTTGGGTGACCTTGGGCAAGGACACACCAACTTCAAACTTTTGTTTCCTCATTAATTTATCTTCCCCATAAGACTGCTGTGAAACTTAAATGGCGAATATGACTGTGAAGTTCTTGGCACAGTAACTGAAGCTAGTACTAAATACATTTTAGCGAAAATTAAACACAGGCCTTCTTCCTGTGAATGCCTACAGCATACGACGCTTGAGGGGAAACAGTTGTTTTGGCCTACTGGCCATTCCTCAGTTGCCTACAGATTTTTTTTTTTTATTCTTCACTCATACAATAGATCTTACTGCAGTTTCCCCTCCCTCCCCTTCTCCCATTCCCTCCCCACTTACCTCCCCCTCTCCTCCCAGATCCACTCCTCTGTTTCTCTTCAGAAAAAGGCAGGCCTCTCAGGGATACGACCTAACAAATTACAATAAGACCTGGCACAAACCCTCGTATCAGGACTGGGAGAAGCAACCCAGTAAGAGGAAAGGGGTCCTAAGAACAGGCAAAAGAGTCAGAGACATGCCCACTCCTACTGTTAGGAGTCTCACAAAAACACCAAGCTGACAACTATAGCTTATTTACGAGGACCTAGCACCTTTGCAGGCTCTATGAGCCTCTGGAAGCCTTGATTTCATGGGCTGACTTCTCCTGGTATCCTCAACCTCTCTTGGCTTCTACAATTTCTCCTCACCCTCTTCCTAGATTTCCCAAAATCTACAAGGGGAGGGACCTGATGGAGATCTCCAACTTAGATTCTCTTTCTGCTTAATGTTTGGCTGTGGGTAACAGAGTATGAATTTAATTAATCTCTACAGAGTGAGTTGTACGACAAGTGAATGCCAGTTACAAATCATTTCTCCTGATGACCTCTGACGCTGCTCGGCAGATCCATTCCACTAGGATTTATGGAGACACTACTACACACATCAACAACCCTGTGCAGAGCCCTGAAAGGCCTACTCCTAGCCTAATTTATTTTAGAAATTAGAAGTTTCCAAGCTAGGGATCTCTATGTAGTTTCAGTATTCTCTGACAAGGATAAACCCCTTTTGACAATAATTTTAAACTTAAAATATGTTTGACTGTAGCATTGTTCCCATATCAAATATGGAAATAATGAAACCAATTCCCTGAACCATGAACTTTCAAAACTATTTTTCTTGACCTCACTAGATTCACACCTAGACTTTGTATCAAAATAAGTGTCAATGACATTGGGTTTAGCTTTCCCAATATTACACTCACAATCATTCAATATGTCATTTCTTCTTTTCTCCAAATGTGTGCCTTATTTTAGTATTTTGTTCCTCACCTTTTATTTAAATAAGATTATTTAATTTCCTTAGTGTCATGAACACCCCTTTAAAGGTAGACTTGTGAAATATTTATTAATATTAATGTTGAGTGCCTGTGATGTCCCATGATTTGTGTGTGTGTTATTTTACTCAATTATCACCATAACTGTTTGCTGTTGATAAAAAGTAACTCCAAGTAGCTAGAGAAATCATACAAGATTGTGTGGCTGGTAAACAGTGATATTCTGTGAAATGAGTCTACCTCTGGGGTAATCAATTGCAAAGACAACTGAGTGAGTTCTCTGCACCGTCCTTACTTCCATACCCCTTGCAGTGTATGCATACCCTTTGTAGCTCCTCCAAACAAGAGATGGTACCTATTTCCATAACCTTTACATACTGGCTAATCTTGTGATTGTGTTACCAAATAAGGACAAGACATGACAGTGGAGCTGATGTATTGGACTATTAGAAGTCACATGGGGCTAGCTTGAGTCAACCCAGTTGTTCATTCCAAGGCCCAGACACTGAATTCAGCCAAGAACAGCTATGTTGTTCTGTAGCAGACAGCAGATACAAGAGTGACCCCACCAAGTCCAAATCAGAGCTATAGAATTGCCTAGCTGACCACCTATTCATGTAAAGAATCAGTAACCAGTGAGATATGGCTGTTTGCCGTACAACACTATTGATTCATGAAATGGAAAACATACATTACACAGCTTCAGGCAGTAAATATACCTTATATCAGTACTAAAAAAAAAACCTTCACAAACACATCTATCAGATTTTCTTTCATGTTTCTTTTTTCAATTTTTTTATTATTCTCATTTATTTATTCAGAGGCATGTCAGTGGACAGATATGGAGGTCAGAGGACATCTTGCATAGGTCAGTCTCTCCTTTCACTATGTGGGTCCTGAGAACTGAACTCAGGTTCTCAAGACTGGAACCAAGGGTCTTCACTCACGGAGCCATCTTGTCAACCCTCTTTCATCTTTCAGTCATGCTCTTATATTCTTCTCAGTTACTCTAGAGTAAAAGAAAACATCCTATGAGTGATATATTAGAAGAAAATGGATTTGTCTCTAATGAGCCAGTTTAACACGTGACAAACTTACAAACTGAACTACAGCCTGTGGCTCTCCATTTCTGCTACTGAGTGAACCCGGAGCAAACAAACCAGCCAGGATTCTGCAGCATCTAGTCTCTTCACACTCGCACACGGTACAATGGTGTCATAAGGCATGGTTCGTTCCTCAAGAAATTTATCATCTGTTTGAAAATATCAACAGTTGTGCAAATAAGAGAAGGTAAATGATAATAAAACATTTTTAAAAGAAAACGTCTTATATAAAAAGGAGACTATGATCATTTTATTTCAAAAGAAAATATATTTGATTATTTTGGTACAGCAAGTCAACTCTTGATGGGAGAATTCAGAGAAATAACCATGAATTGAGAACAAAGTCCATAAGATGGAGGCTGGTTTGTTGAAATACTTCAATAAAGTGGGCAAGAAAGCCATCTTCCTTGGTGAAACCAGGGGAGGATGATACTTGCAGTGGCAAACAGGGAGTGAGCAAACAGGTCATTTGATGAGAACAGAAAAAGTCGATAGAACCAACTACGGAAATAGATACAGAGTGGAAGAGGCAGGTGACGCAAGCAGGAGCGTGTTGATCATTAACCACCTGTGAACTGTTTAATATTGAACATGTGAAGCTTGGGGTAGGCGTTAGCAGTTGGAAACTCAGGCCAGCGTCCAGGGGAGAAAGTCCAGGTTTCAGGTATTGTTGGAAAATCTTCAGTGTCTGAGAGGTGAGATGAAGCTAAAGCAGAGGGGAGAGGCTGGCCCTGGGGAATGCCAACAATGTCTAGTGGAGGAGATAAGGAAAGTGAACAGCTGACAGCGAAGCAGGACGGGGCCGGTGCCATGTGAGTCCCATAGTGTGGTAACCACCCAGAGAAGGGAGGGGTATGCGCCAGCAGAGAGGAAACATGCTCTTTCAAGAGAAGCCTGAATGATAATGGACAAGACCTGTTCCAGCAATGCCAGATGCCTTTTCTAAGTCTTTGGATGGTTCCCACGGGACTACTCACGAAAGAAACAGTGGAGACTGATTGGACCTGTTTGGAAAACGGACACAGCCATCTTTGTCTGGGACTAATTTAGCTTTCCAGATTCTCTGCGGTCATTTTAATGAATTAATTCCCCTTTCTTCATTTCATACATTTAGAAAGTACACATTGAGGGGAACAAAATCTCTGATGCTGGGAATAAAGCTCAGAAACAATGACCACAAACCCCTGGGATCAAGGCCCAGCACCACGAGAGTATCCAGTTAAATGGACAATGGCCAAATCCCATTAGCTTCTGTGCCATTAGTACATCTTTTTATAAAGATTTGTTTATTTTTAGTGTTTTTTTTACTATATGTGGGGTTGACTGTGTGAGTGTATGTGAGTGCCCACAGAGACCAAGAGAAAATATCGGATTCTCTGGAACTAGAGTTAACAGGCAGTTGTGAGGGGCAGCCAGATGTGGGTATGGGGAACTGAATTCTAGAAAGACAAAGAATGCTCTTAACCACTGAGCCATCTCTCCAAGTCCCTGTAAATATATCTTATGTCACCCAAGTGACACAGTCAGAGCCATCTCTCCAAGTCCCTATAAGTATATCTTACGTCACCCAAATGACAAAGTCAGGGTGTTGGTTTATTATTATTATTATTAATTTTCATTATTTTAAAACAGCAAATTACTGTTCCCTGTTGTGCTGGCTTCCAGACACAGAATATATTATTATACATAATAATACACAGAATTAATTCTTATGGCTTTCAATAATATTATGTAAATAAATAGAATAGCCACTCAGAGTGTTTCTAAATATATTTTTCAACATATATATATATATATATATCATATATACACATTCATATATATTACATATATAATATATATGTATATATGCGGTAGCTGTTGTTTCTATTCTGGTTTCAGTGGAACATGACTAATGAAGAACAACATGAAAATATGCTACTTTGTTTTCAGTCCCTTCTATTACCTAACACAGTCACGTTGGCCACTCTGGTCCTGTGTGGCCCAGTACTCCACTGCAGAATCATTGTACCAGGAACCTACATCTTACAAACTTTCCCAGTGACTCACCAGGCACAACACAATCTGAAGCTGTGACCTAAGTGCTCTGCAGGGAAACAGGGGCTTTTGGAAGGAAAAGGGGGTCCTATTAGACCCAGGTTTCCCCCTCTCCAGTCCTCTCTTTAAGAGTCGACCCTGACTTCACACATCAAACCCATCAGCCAGCCAGGCCAGTTATCTCATGAAAGTAAAGTCACAATCAGCCTTCCTTTCAGTTAGCTCCGTTGCCCACCTTCAATCCGCCTGCCATGTACTCTGCCCCAGCACTGCCGTCACCTCCTACCGGATCACTTCCTTCTGTACTTAGTTTCTGCTATCCTTAGGATGTTTTCAAAACACCTCTTGGATGACATTGCCTTCCTGGGGTGACAACTGAATACTGCTCTGTCCCCAATGCTCTGTGACAGTCTGCACTCCCCCATGTGCTGATGTGCCAGTGATTGGCACTCTACATTCTCTATTCCTCAGATGCAGGATTCTTGTCTTGCCACTTGGCATTTCACTCCACACCAGGTAAGGAGTGCAGGGGACAGGAAGGACTCCTCCATTTGCCTAAGACAGTCTTCATCCTTGTTACAAAGCCTCATTATTAATGTCCCTTTCCTGGAGGATTATTTAACCCCATTCTTTTATGCTCAGCCCTCTTCTCTCCATTCTCCTCCGCATCCGAGCCCTTTTTAGTTCCTTCATATTGTCAATCACAATGGAACTAAAAGAAAAAGAACATTTACTTATTTGGTTGGGAGCTACATATGTGTGCCATGTTCTGAGTGTGGCATCCAAAGGACAGCATTTGGGAGGGTTCTCACCTCCCATCATGTAGGTTCCTGAGATCAAACTTGTCACCCTCAGCTTGTCCTAGAATTTTTTTTCCCGTTGTTTGACCTCAGGCACATCTGACCTTTTGATATTATGACAGGAAGTTATCATCTACAAACTTCACACACAACAACCACATTATGGAGTTACCAAAAACCATTATCACCCAGTCGGAGACATGGCTCAGTGTCTAGGGACCAGAGTTGTGTTCCCAGAACCCACTGCACACACAGGTCACAAGCACTTTTGTTGCTCTACTTCCAGGAGAGCTAATGCTCTGTTCTGGCCTCTGAAGGCTTCTCCACATATAAATCATTCACACATACAGCCACATACATACATGTAAGTAAATAAATACACATAAATAAAAATAATACAAAATTTTAAAATGTTGAAATCACAAAAAAGAACCAGGACATTTTAAGTAAACTTATAATTTTGCACTTGGTATCATTCATACCTATCCTGATGTCCATGGGAGCTACAGGCTACAGGTTGAACTTGCAAGCCAAACCTCAAGAATAACAGAAATAGTGCCCATTGCGGTTTCCAGTGTGTTTCCAGAACCTAGGATGATGTCCAGTATCCTTACGGATGGAATGATTAAGTGAATGAATGAAAGGACTCAGTATTCTCACCGTGCTCAAGTCCCTGAAATGGACAAGGTAGAAACTTCATCTCAATGTGATAAGTTTATGCATTCTAAAATCAAACATCATTCCAGAGCTACAGTAAGTGACTGGGGAACTAACCTGGAGTCCACTGCTCTATTGATCCAGTAGAGATGGACCACAGTGCTATTAGGAAGTTTCTATGGTGATCAGAGTTTGCTTTGCTGCCTTTGGAAAGGATGTATCAATGCTCTTTTCTATGTGGGAAAATATCTCAGCAGGGAAGAAGAGTTTTAGTCATATGGAAGACTGCCAGCTAACTATATAAAGCAAATGTTACTAATTATTGTGGTTTTATGAAAACATTGTTCAGTGAATCCATGTAACCTCATTTTCAAACTATAGACTTAGGGCCTTCAATATTCTGGCAATCTATTTTGAAGTTAGGAAATAAACCAAAGTGAGAATGATCAAAGCACAAGGAAATTCCCTGCTCATTCAGAAGCCAGACAGAGTTGCAAAGACTGGATAGAGGGCTCTACTCACACCCAACCGTCGCGTGTAAGTGCTTCCCAAGGCTCACTCACCAGCCAAGAGACAGCAGCACCAACTGCGTGTGAGAGCAAACATCTTCCTGTGACAGTTCTGCCTCTAGAGACTAAAATGGTTTTTAATTTTTCCCATTGCTTTTTAAAAACATACTGTGCTTTATTGAACTGCAACTTCACCCAGGACCCCAACTACCCCTCTGCCTTGAGTTGCTCCACCCCTATCATATGTTTATTGTGGATGTTTATAAGTCTGATCCTCTCGCTCCTGCCAGGCCAGGATGGTCTTGAACTCCTGAATAATAGAGTTATAGATAGCTACTGCTCCACCTGGCTTGTGGTTTTTCTTTCTTGTGAATCTATCTTTCATTACAGGAATCTGTGTCAGTTACAAACTAATGATGTTGAAGGAAATTACATCTTCCTCCTCTTCAGAATTATCTGTAAACAGTCTAGAGCAGTGTGGCTGAGTTAGAGCTGACTACTCTCCAACTGTGGCAGAGAGCATATTGAAGTGGAAAAGGGAGGGATAGGAAGAACGGGGGTGGGTAGATGATGAAAACTAGCTTTCAGGTCCCTTTCAATTGTTTCTGGCTCTTCCATTCCATCAAAGGCAAGCTAACCCAACTACACAGTTATCCAGAGCTTTCTGAGAGCCAGGAAGTAAGTTGAAAGCATGCCAGAGAGCAGACTGGACATTAACCCCACTCTAATAAAATCAAAAGCCAGCAAAATGAAGAGGAACCAAGACTAAGCTAGATCAGATGGTAAAGTCTGCACGTGGCTTTCCTGCCTCACCGTCAGCTTGACATTTATGTTTGTCAGCCATGTAGTAAACATAGGTAAAGAAGACTCAAAGAGATATGGCTTTTAAAATGTTACCAACTCATTTCTCCCTAGTTCCATGAAATAACTGTCAAATGCACGAATAAGCTCACACGTTCACTGCCCTTCATCTGCTCATCCACATCTGCATGTTTATTGAATTTCCTATGTGATATCGCACTGCTTTTTTCTTAATTTAATAGTAAGGTTCATATGCACTCCTTTTATTAGATTTACGAAATAGAATTTTTGGCTTGCCCAATACTTCTTGTGATGTCATCTGATAGCTCTTTTCCAGTTGACTGTCATGTTTGGAGTTATGAGTGTTTGACAGAACCATCATAGTGTATGCATAAGTCCAGCTACTGTAGCACATCTTTTCCTTTCTAATTAGCTCTTCTGAGATAATCACCATTTTCCACATTCAGTACCACTGTACACATATCGTTTGTGTAAATCACATACTTTCAAATTACTAATCCTAGATATTAAAAATTAATGGAAAAACACAAGAAATATTAAAAAAACAAAGCAGTGTATTTTCTCTAAATATCAAAACTTTCATAGTAAGGGCCTTCAATGAGAGTGAATTAAATGTAATCCTAGGCAATGAATTCAAAAGAATAATTTTTGGGCTTTCAAAGAAATCTAAAAAGCTACATATAAACTCATGGATAAATTCCAAGAGAATACAAATAGCAGAATGAAGTAAAAGAAGTAAATATAGTATATGAATGTGAAATTGAATAAAGAAAAAGAAATACTGAAAGTACTTTGGAAATTAAAAATTCAGTAAATCAAATAAAAGCTCCACAACAATCCTCACTAACAGAATGGATCAAGAGAAAGACAAACTACCAGGCCTTAATGATAAAGTAAAGGAATCGGACAATTCAGAAAATGATAAAGCTAAATTAACAAGAAGAGATCAAAGATTCATTGTCCATGGGACACTATGAAAAGAAGAATGACATAGAAAGATAAGAATTTCATAATAAAAGCATAAAAAACTAGTATATGTCTACTATACTGAGCAAAGCTATCTGTCATAGTTAATAAAGAACTGATTTCTAAGATTGAAATATCACAACCACCAAGCCAGCTTTGCAGAAGATGCATAAAAGAACCTTTCATTCACACAAGAAAGATAAACACATCTGGGAAGCTTCAGGAAAGAATAAATCACAACAGAGTATGAGTTAGGCAAACGAGGAATAGAAAAAATAACAAAATGCTGAAAATTAATATAGACCTAATATATTAGAATAATTATAAATGATAATAGCTTTGATTTCCCTTCTGATTTCCCTCATCAGAAGACACAGATTATTTTATTGCATTTAAAAATGGCCCATTTGTTGACTTATTTGCACCTAACCACCAAAGACACAGGAAACCTTAAGATTAAAGGAAACGGTATTCTAGGCAAACAAACTAGCAAACAAGCAGGTGTCACTGTTCTAATATTGTGCAAAACAGACTTTAAGCTAAAATTAGGAGAGATAAAGAAAATCAACTCATAATTAATTAAAAGGAGAATCATGAAGAAGATGATATAACTTTAAACATATGCACCAAATGCAGATGCATCAGATTTCATAAATCAACATAGTAAAGTCTGTGTATGGTATGCCTGTGACCAATTCTACATACTAAAAGAACTCAAGGATTTTCATTAAAATTGGGAACAGGACAAGGTGTTCAGTTTCTGTAATTTATTCAATATAGTGCTTGAAATGTTAGCTAGTGAAATAAGACAAGAGGAAAGAATTAAAAGGAATAAAAACAGAAAGGGAAGTCAAAGAATCCTATTTGCAGATTATATGATTCAAACGCATGAGACTCTTAAGGCTGATATAAAACTATCAGAGCTGATAAATATTTTCAGCAAAATTGCAGGGTACAAAATTAGTACAGAATTAGTAGTTTACTTACATACTAATGACAAAAATTACATTAATTTATATCTTGCAACATATATTGTACAAAACTACATTAATTTATGTCTTTCTACACCAATAACAAAAATTATATCAAATAATTACATTAACAGTTGCCTCAAAGAATATTTTGGAATAAATCTCACCAAGAAAGTAAAAGACTTCTATAATAAAGATTTGTAAATGCTGAAGAAAGAAACTGAAGAAGACACTAGGAGGAGGAAAACCTCCCATGGTCATGGATTGCTGATCTAATATAAACGTGGCATTGCTACCAAAAGCAATCTGCAGACTCAATGCAGTTCCATCAAAATTCTAATTTCAGTCTTTACTGATATAAGGAAAACTATTTTAAAATGTATATGGATGTAGAAAAGACCCAGATATAGACAACAAGGGGGAAGACGGCTGACTAGGACTCCAGTCATCCGGGCAATGATATCAATGACTGCTAAATGGGCACCCCATGAAAGTAAAAGGCTTCTGCTGGGCCCGAGAGATGGCTCCATAGACACGTGCCACTGAAAACTTCCCTAGAAGTTCCCTTCCTGGAACTTACATGGTAGCAGAAGATAGTTGACTCTACAAATCATCCTCTGACAAACACATGTGTAACCACAACGTGTTGTTTTGATACACAACAAAGAAATACGCGTAATATTTTGGCAAACTGTCAAAGCTTCTATACAGCAAAGGAAACAGCAGAGTAAAGATACAACTTGCTGAACTCAGTTATTTCAGAGATGCTCACCCATCAATGTTTATTGTATTTCTTGAAACAGGGTTTTATATATGCCACAAACACTCTCACTATGTAGGCAGAGAAGGCCCTGAACTCCTGATCCTCCTGTCTCCATCTCCCAAGTCTCCTGTCTCTACCTGTCCAGTCCTGGTATTACAGGCATGTGCAAGTAAGCCTTGTTTTGGCTATGCTGAGCTCATGGTCCAGGTTTTCTGTTATGGAACTAGCCTAAGGTGCCCCAAAAGAGAATAATGGGAAAAGAAAATGAGATATATGTACACGCTGGAAATTTTGTCAGCCATAAAAAACAAAGCTATGGCATTTTCAGAAAAATGGATGCAGCTGGAGATGATTACATTCGGTGAGTTAAGCAGTTTCAGAAAGACGAACATTTCCATTTTTTTATTTCTCTCATTTGTGGTTCCTACATTTTGTATTCATACACTGAATTGTGTATATGGGATTTGAGAGTAGAAGTAGAGCTATCTAGAGGAATTCACGGGCCTGTTCCATTCTCGAAGTCACGGTGCCTTCTAAAAGAGTGTGTTGCTTGCACTGGGGACAAATTTAGGCCATTTGAGCTATTTGTAAGCAGCTATGTACAAGACTTGTCCAGTGCTGACTACTTCTTGGGTGACTTTAACTGAGCTGCTGTATCATAGCTTTGAAATAGGCTGATAATAATTTCAAAATATAGTTTAGACTTTTAAAACTCAATATTATGTATTTAATAATAATATACTTGTCAGTTTACCTGTGAATCCAATAAACACTTCCTATATTAGTTTTTTGAGGTTCAAGGAGAAAAAGTAGATAAATGACAATTTGTATAGTGTAACTTGAAGAAAATGATATTTCTTTATGAGTTTACATATGTACTTCTTTAAAGTTCTTCCAGTGTCAAATTCTGTATTGACACTAAGTGTATAAAGAGGCCATGAACTGTGATCATCAAACAGCAGAAGTATGGGTTGTTTACCTAAGAACAGGAACTTCCAGTAGCTGCTCCACTGAAGAAAACGATGCCCTCTCCTCCAACAATCGGTATCCACCAGAGTCCCTCAAGGAGGAGCAGGAATGTAAAGCTCCTCCCCCTTCCATGACGAAATTTTGGCATGCCGAATCTGCGCAATCCGTACGCAGGAAACCACTGCTGCAGTGAGTTCATGAGTCCAGTCTCCGTGTCACATCCAGAAGAAGGTTTTTGCCGCATCCCCTTCTTCCTGCCTCTCTTCCATAATATCCCCCAAGCCTTCGATGGGTGATAGAGATGTCCCATTTAGGGGCATGCACGCCACTATTCCCTGTTTCTGGCACTTCCGTTATGAATCTTTGCATTGACTGTTGGCTGATACAACAAGGAACTGCTCTGGAGAAGATTGACAGTAGAACTAATCTATGGATAGGCGCGTGAGTATTCAGCCACGTGACTATTTAGCATAATGACAGTAGTAGCCCTCCCACTCCACTCCTACCAGGACCTGTGACTTTTGACCAAGTTTATAGTACCAGGCATGAATTCTCTCCAGTGAACTGGGTATCTGATCCAAAATGAAAAAAGTTGGTCCTCTCTATAAGATTCATGCCGCTATTGCAACAGTGGACACATATTTGCCTGGCATGTTGGTGGTATAGGAAGCCGTGTTCCCAGCTTGAATAAGACTGTTGATGACTGTTCTGTTCCATTAAGCTGCCTAGCACCTTCCAGCACTATGAGAAGTACCCAGTTGGAGATACTTGTAGCTTTATTCCAGATGGATTTCTCCATGTCCTGTAACTTAAGTGTATGGTGTCTTCAGCAATAGGGCCTTACCACTAAGTTCTTGTTGGCAACCAAGAGCAATGCCAGTGGCCTCTATTGTTTGGGGGCCTCTAAAGCCACCCTGACCCATAGGGAGCTGCCCTACATTTGACACAGTGGTTTCTGTTTAAAACCTATGGCTTCTGGGTGAAGCATTACTCAACCAGGATGTCTCCATTTGGACTGTTTTTAAATTATGCTTTTTAATAAACTTATAAAATAATGGATATCCATATGACTTTTTCAAGATTTTTAAGGTTAGTTATCCATCCTCCATGCCCTCCTCCATCCTCCTCTCCCATATCCCTCCACAAAATGTTTGCAGCCCCAGCAATCTCCCTTTCCACTTTCACGTCTTCTGCCCCACAAGAAATCCTTTCAAACTACCTTCTCCAGTGGTGGTCTGAGGAAGATGTTCAAACTGTCATTTTGTTTCAGGTCATAAAATTTATGATATGCCTATATGTCATATAATTTGTGGTATGACTTAATTATGCCGAATACACTACACTAATGTGCAAATACCAACATGAGTGTGAGTTTTTAAAATGCCCAGGGAGCAGGGATCCCCACATCACAGCGCCTTCCCAGACACTGTTTCATTTGATGCTCATAAAACCCCAGAAAGGAGGTGTTGCTTGTTTTCAGCCCTTTGTAGGAAATTTAAAAATCCTAGTGAGGGGCTGGAGAGGTGGCTCAGTGGTTAAGGGCACTTGTTGCTCTTGTATGAGCCCTGAGTTCAGTTCCCAGTATACCTATAGTTCATAACTGCCTACAACCCCTGTTATAATGCCTTCTTCTGGCCCCTGTGAGCACCAGGCATGCACAAGGTGCATATGCATACAGACAAACATCGATAGACACGAAATAAAAATAAATACATATTTTTAAGAAAAATAAAAGAAAGAGAGCCTAGTGAGATTATGCTGCCTAAAGTCCTTCAGTTGATGGCAGATCCAGGTTCTCTAGACCAAATCTTATACTGATTTCACCATGGCATGGGGAAGCATACAAAATACCCAATAGACTGTTTATTCCAGTCTCGATAGAAATTATTCACTGACAGGTTTCTAAAAAAAAATCATAGTACAATGATTCTTTCAATGTCAATGAAAGAAATATTTTAAGTATATCCCTCAAAAGTATTTACCCTTATATAAGACAGGATTGCCTTTAGCCCATATAAATAATAACTATATCCACGATGTGTGCTGTGTGCTAGAGTGTCAATGCACCCACAGTGACTTAATCTTTAAGGTAGGCCTCAGTCAGCTTTGCAGTGACTTGAGGCAACTTAACTTTTGTTTGCGGTGGTTTCACTAACTATCCAGAGGGAAGACAGAAAATTCCTAGGAACGTGATGCCATCTAGTGGTGAAACTAGCCAGAGGCAACGTCCTTGCAACATGAAATGTAATTATTCAGCCTTTTAAGGGAGTGAAGGGCAATGGTGACACACGCCTTTAATCCCAGCACTTGGGAGGCAGAGGCAGGCGGATTTCTGAGTTCGAGGCCAGCCTGGTCTACAGAGTGAGTTCCAGGACAGCCAGGGCTACACAGAGAAACCCTGATTCGGAAGAAAAAAAAAAAACAGGGAGTGAAATACTAGATTCTAGTGAGATACAAGCTGTTGCATCGCCATAAAGCCAGGTAGATTCTAGTGAGATACAAGCTGTTGCATCGCCATAAAGCCAGGTAAATGCATGGGGACAGACAGGGGCTGAGTGGAGACTGTCGTGAGCATGAGTGAGCATGACTCTTCCGTCTAATAAAAATATCCTAGAACTAGAGCCTCTAAAACGTTCCAGCTACTGTTCAGTGTTGCATTCTAGGTCTTAGAAAAACATGAAAATGTATCTGTGCTTAAAAGTTAAGCTTCAGTGGCAAAGAGTCCTATATCTAGATAGCAATAGTAGAAGACCGGATGTGATCCGGGCACAGGGATACAAAAGAGAGTTTCTCTGTCAACTGGTGCAAGGAATTGGCAATTCTCAGTGGGGGTCCTAGCGAGCATTGCACAGAAGAACTTCTGGAGAATGGACCATAAGGGAACCAATACCCTGCAGACTTCATTTCAACTCAACTCATTTCAGAAGCTCCCATATGTCCCTGGGTTCATGGGCTGGTGAAGTTGGGGAAACACCGTAGAAGGCTCTCACCTCGCTGCCATCATGTCTAAGTCAGGGTCTTAGGAACTGGAAGTCCCAAGGAGTCCAGAAGCTGCTGATGCTCTTCTTCAGAGTGCTGAGTTTCAAAGGGATTGGTGAGCATCCCAGGAGCCATTTTAAGCAATGGGAACCCTCGCCGACTGTGTGGTAATCAGAGATTCCAAACACCAAGAGATGCAGAGGCTTCGGGTTTGTCATGTACGGCTTTGTGGAGGATGTAAATGCGGCTATGAATGTAACAGCCACACTTCCAACAGGTAGGTGGAAGAGGGGAAGAACTGAAGAGAGCTGTGTCAAGAGATTTTCAAAAGCCAGGTGTTGCCCCATGTCTGATAAGATCTTAGTGGCGTTAGAGAAGACACTGAAGAACGTCACCTCATTTTGAACAGTATGGAGAAACTGAAGTGATTGAAATCACGACTGACAAAGCGGAGGAAAGACTTTTCTTTTGTCCCTTTTGATGATCATAACTCTGTGGGTAAGATCATTCAAAAACACCATCCTGTGAATGGCCACAACTTATGAAGCAAAACACGCCTCGTGGAAGCAAGAGGTGTCTAGTGTTTCATCCAGCCAAAGAGATCCAGGTGTTTCCTGAATCGTTGGTGGTGGTCCTGGAGGTAGAAACAGTCATAAGTGGTTGAGGAAACCTCGGTAGTCATGGTGGCTTTGGTGACAGCCATGTGGTTGTGCATGTGGGAGCAGTGAGGATGGCTAGAATGGATTTGGTAGTGATGGTGGTTATAGAGGAGGTGACCTTGGTTACTTGAGAGGAAGCAGAGGCTCTGGAAGTGGTGAACAGGGTTATGGAAACCAGGACAGTAGCTATGACAAGAATGGCAGCCATGACAGCAAATGGAGGAGGTGGAGGATTTTGGCGGTGGTGGTGGAGACAATTTTGGAGGTGGTGGAAGCTCCAGTGATTTTGGCAACAACAATCAGTCTTCAAATTTTGGACCAATGAACAGGGTAGGGGTGGGGGCTTAGGGGCAGAAACTCTAGTCCTGACGGTGGGGAAGGACAGTACTTTGTTAAACCACAAAGCCAAGGTGGATGTCATAGTTCCAGCAGCAGAAGTAGTTATGGCAGTGGCATGAGTTCTAATCACTGCCAGGAGAAAAAAAGCTCAGCAAGAGACAGGGAAGCCACAGGTGACAGATGATTTGTGACTTCAGCCAAGCACAGGTGGCAGGGCCTAGCCACTACAAAGAAGACATGTTTTAGTCAGCATTCATGTATATGGACAAAACCAACCAAACAAACAAACAAACAAAACCCTGCAGGACTGTATTTGTGACTGAATATAGAGCAACTTATTTTTGCTCCTGTTCTATGCAAAGATATAAAGCTTTCTGACAAAAGGTTTTCATGTAGACCTTTTTTCAATCCATAATGTTAATTGCTGAACATATAATCTTATCCTGATGCTGAGTACATGTGTCTTTTTAAAAAAAAAAAAAGTTTCGCCCTTCGGCCCCTGCCTGGTCCCTGGGACTGGAGCAGACACAGAGTCGGTCTGCTCCTGTCCTGTGGAGAAA